CGAAATATCACTATCTTCCTCTAACAAAGAACAAAGCAAAAAGAAGTACCTGGCTTCATCACTTTCCAAGTGATCATAGCTTAGCCTCAGAGATTTATACACCTTTGTGTGCACTCCAGGGATATTTCTTGTTGCTGCATCACGTAATTGTTTAAGGGCATCCTTCCAGAAAGGCTTCGTTTTACGTTTTAGTGCTCCTGCAACTGTAATAATTGCAAGCGGCAATCCCTTGCATTCTTTGGAAACATCTTTTGCTACGCCAAGCAGAAAAAAATCGTCGACTGAATTACCAATTTTCTCCTTGAAAAGGATCCATGCTTCCTCTTCAGGTAAAGTTTCAACTTCCATGATCTTCAGAGCTTCCATTGCTTCACAAACGGGTCGGAGATGCATCGTCAATATCACTTTGCACCGGTAGTTGTGGTTGCTACCACTGGGAGTTCCAAGTTTGCGTAGATCATGAAGAGCCTCCCAAACATCATCCAAGATGACAAGGGTGCGGCTGTTCTGATCTATTAACCTTGTACGCAGCTGATCTCCACGACTCGACATATCATCCCCTTCTAATGTTAACCTTGTACGCAGCTGATCTCCACGACTCGACATATCATCCCCTTCTAATGTCAGCCCGACTCCTCTTGCGATCTGACCCTGAATTTTTTTCAACTCGGGTTGTTGACTGACAGTTACCATGACAACATCATTGAACAACCTTTCTTGTTTCGCCTTTTGTCTGATTTTCTCAGCCAGTGTTGTCTTACCAACACCACCCAGGCCACATATCCCAATCTTAGTGACCCCGTCATCCTTTAAAGCTGCCATGACCTCATCCTCTTTCAATTTTCTGGAGTCAAACACCTCACCATAGTTACTAGGTATGGCCTCACTTTGAACTGGATGATCAACGGAGATTACATCAGGCCTGTTGCTTTCATTTTGAAGTTCAATCAACTCCAGTGTAATTTTCTCAGCTCTCCTGCTCATCGAGTAACGTGACTTCAGGTTTGGACACCAACCATAAAAGCAACCCCTTTCAACCTCAGCTGAACCTTGACTTACAGCTTCCACATGTTCAATAGTGGTATCAACACTAGTTAACCAAGCCTATGAATTTCTGATTCTAAAAAAGGCAAGACGGCTGACCTAGGGTTTTAAGCCAGCAGCTGCGCAGCTCTCATGGCTGCTACGGCCACTGGACGGCCTCCTTTCGAGGCTGTCCAGCCCTCCCCACCACCCCAAACCACCACATACGCCACTCTTTTCAATTCCAATACTATAAATCCTAAACAATCTGCCCTAATTAACTCAAAAACAATCGCAAAACCAATCGAAATAATTCATGGAGAACCTACTATCACGTTTTCAATGGAGGAAAGGCAAGACTTTATGATTGAAGAGGGATTGCATCAAGCAGTGGTGTTTAAATTATCCCATGGTGCGCCAGATTTGAAGGTATTAAGGTCAATTTTACCGAAACATCTTGGTACCAAGGGCAACTGTTTAATTGGCTTACTTGCTCCAAGACAAATTTTGTTGAGATTTGATCAATATGAAGATTATGTACTAGCATTATCTCGCTCAGTTAATTATCTTCTCTACAATGGAGAGGAGCACCAATGTAGGGTTTTTCCATGGTCCATTGGATATAATCCTAAGGAGGAAACGACGTTAGCTGTGGTTTGGATTTCTTTACCAAACTTATCTCCAGATTTGTTTGCAAAGAAGTCTTTGTTGTCTATAGCATCGGCAGTTGGGAAACCAATAGCTATAGATAAAGCTACTCAAATCAAGTCAAGACCTAGCACAGCTAGGGTCAAGGTTATACTTGATCTAATGGAAAAGCTTCCAAATCGTATAAGGTTGCAGTTTGTGGATGGAAAATCTGGTAAGTTGATCGAGGTTTTTCAGGAGATTGTTTATGATAATCTACCTTTGTATTGCAATTATTGTAAGCACCAAGGTCATGATGAAGATAGTTGTCGTTTGATCTCAAAAAGAAATCAAAATAACAAACAAATTGATGATACCATTGAAGTTGCTACAAAAGGTACTATTGATAGTGAAAAGTATCAAGGTGATGCGAGAGAAATACTAAATGAAAAAAGAAAGGTTGTAGATATCAATCAAAGTAAAGCTACTTTGTTAGATCAGCAGTTGGTTGATGTCCCTTCTGAGCAAAATCGTGCACACTCAATGGATGTTGTTACAAGTAATATTGGTGTTCAAACAACGACTGAAAACAAAAGGGGAACTCCAAGAGTTGGGGTTGATGCGCCACGAGTTGGTTCAGGCAAAAAAATAATGGATTCAGGACACAAACTAATGGATACATCTGATGTTGAAGATGCTGAAAATTCTGGGCAGCATGTTTTGCAAGTTGAAACCAAGAATGCAACTAAAAATTGGACACTGGTTGCACTCAAAAATTCAACTAGTAATCGGAGCCTTTCCCCGACTAGTCAAAATAATTCTCCATGTAGTGAAAAGGGTGCAACTGGAAATTTTTATGACAGTGAGAAGAGGCAAGATATTAGTAATGCCTCAAGAGACCTATTATGTTCGAATAGCTTTGATGCTTTATCGAAGACTACTGGACAACAAGTAAAGTTAACAGAGAATGACAACGATTTGATCAAAGAAAAGCAGGTCTCACCACCTACTTTGAATAGCAAATTAAGTCCAGAAGCTCCCGTATTTGTGCCTAAATGTGTGATTGCAAAGAAAAATGAGTCAAGGGTCTTAGTGTCAAATACAATTGATTTGGGCGAGGATTTTCTTGATGAAAATGAGGAAGACAATATGCTTGATTTTGGCGAGGATTCTCTTGATGAAGATGAGGAAGATATGCTGGACATGTGCTTTGATAGAGTGGCTAGGGAAGGAGATATATCACCTAGGCAACAAAGAAGTAGAAGCAACAAAAGCAAAAAGAAGACACATGGAAGGCAACATAGTTGGGACGGTAAAATGACTGAGGAGTTTGTTCCAAGGCACCTACCGATGCGACAGGCAAAGCAGAACCATTTGACAGTATCAATAGGTTCAACAAGGTCCAATAAATCCATAAAGAAAGTATGAATTATCAAGTGTTGTTGGATAGGTTTGAAGAAGAAGACAAGAGAAAAATACTTCAAGTTACTTTTGATGGGCAATCAATCTTTTTTAATTCATGTGTTTGCAATAGAAAGTTTGAGGCTGATAACTCAACTTTCTTCTTGATTGGCATATTTTTACATTATTTAAGCATCCTCATTTGTAATATCATCATGGAGTGTATTACAAACTCTGTGGTGATCAGAAAATACTTAGTTCTCTCTAGCTCTTATTTTCTTCATGCTTGTTAGGTAGTAGACACTTAATTAGGATTAGTAAGGTAAGGCCTAGCCCCCCTTGCTTGCACTTATCCCTATTGATATTTTTTATGTTTAATAAAAGGCCACTAGACACTATCTAGTGGTAAATTTGCGGAAAAAAAAAAAAAAAAAAACCAAGCCTCGCCATTGCGTGAAATGAGTTTTAAGTTTCTCCGGGCAACTTCCGCTCTTTCCTGCACCTCACTTTTGATATTCTTCAGTTTCTCAGATTCTTTATCCATACATCTGATGTTGCTCTTGTAGTAATATAAATACCCAATCCCTCGCGCAACTGGCTGCATCAAGCAACCTGTGACTTTTTCCACAAAAATAGATAAGAATTCCATAGCTAGTATAGTTTAGTAATAAGCCTTTTTTCAACTATCAAGTTTGAACTCTGCTACTGGGATGTAAAGGTGTGAAAATGGAGAATTTGGTATGTAAATGAAAGTTAAAAGAGAAGCAATGTAGAATTTGGTATGAAAATGAGATATGAGAGAGCGAAAATGAAGAATTTGGTATGAAAATGAAATATGAGAGCGGAAATGAAGAATTTGGTATGAAAATGAAATATGAGAGAGCGGAAATGAAGAATTTGGTATGAAAATCAAAGAGTAGCAATGTTGGAGAATTTGGTATTAAAATCAAAGAGTAGCAATGTTTGAGAATTTGGTATTAAAATCAATGAGTAGCAATGTGAGAGAATTTGGTATGACAATGAAATATGAGAGAGCGAAAATGAAGAATTTGGTATGAAAATCAAAGAGTTCAATGTTGGAGAATTCGGTATGAAAATGAATGCTTAAGAGAGGCAATGGAGAGTTTGATTGTGTTATTCGAAGCAACAAATTCACAGAGATTTATAAGCTGTCAAAATAGTATCTCTAAAGTGAGAATATTGATTAGCTAACATATTAAAGTAGTGAACATCTGATTCCATATCTTCCTTCACTCAAACTCATGTTACGACATTCCCAAAATATATGCTTTCTTGCAATGGCAGACACTACAAAGAAGAAAAGAAGGAAATGTAATTGTTGCTTTTTGGAATTTTCCATTTTCTTGCCAAGTACTCAAAGATCAGATTCGTCCATACATTCTCTCCAATTTTTGGAAAAGTATTTCCTTTCCAGTTTCTTCCGATAGGTCTAAGCTTTGGTGGACAGAGTTACCTCTGTTGGGGACGTAGAAAGCACCCAATGGAATAGTCTAGATGACTTCTTCCCTCCTCTTTCAGAATTAGGTGAATGACTAGTTACTCAGCCAGTACAAGGTTTAATCGGAACATGGCAAAGGAATAGTCTAGATTTGTGCTTATACAGTTCATTAAGTTGCTTTCTGCGCATGAATAATAGTAACTCAACTCTGTTTCCCATGAATAATAGATATTTCAACAAAAGAAGAGTTAAATTAAGCCTAACCATAAAAATAAGAAGGCAATAGGGCTTTCATTCCAAGATAAGACAACACATAGCAGTAACATTACCAAAATCACCACAACAGATAAACAAGCACAACAGCTGGAAACAAAAAGGAAAAAGCAAAGATACAAACACACATCAAGACATAACACACTGCCAAAAAACAAACACCTTCATACTTGCAACTGTACTAAACTTCCAGTCTTGAGGAGGAACTAATTTCGATTTACTCAGTTATCCTCACTTCATTTAACCGTGGAATTGAACTGGTCATTTTCTTTTTGGATTCTTTTGTGAGGGCACAAGAAACATGCAAAGTTTCATCACGCTCTAGATTATAGTACAACAGGCCATCTTTGATCACCACTTTATTGGAACAAATGTTGCACTTGACCTCTGCATTCTCATGCTTAAAGGGGAATTCAAAGAAGAGCTCGTATGAGATATTGTCTGCCAGCGTCAAGGTCTTTGGAGCTCCAGCACACTGACGACTCATAATGAATTTGCATGGAGTACAATAGTAGGCCCTGCTACGACCACTTTTGAATTTAGCCTGGCAGCCCGGGCAATTAACATTCTCATTTTGATAATCCAAGTAGCAAGTTAACTTGAGAGGGTGTTGGGGATGAGACATATGTTGAATCATAGATGGAACCGAGAAGCAAGTCTTATCAATAAAGTAATTGCAATCACTGCAAAAGTACCCTGTCGAGTATTCAGAGCGGCACAAGTTGCATGACAGGGACTTGTCCGAGTTATATTCCTTGAGAGCATGGCGGTGAGAGAAATGTGTGGGAGGGTGACCTGTAAGTGTTGTGGGAGGGCGATTTGTTGTTGCCAGAGTTTGCAGCCGGTTTTTTAGTTTACCCATGGAATGATTCTCTATTCCGTATTCTGATACAGCAGCACAATTGACATGACAGAGGTAATCATGCTCATGGTTGTAAAATAGCCAGCATCCAGAAGTGGGAACAACTTCAGTACAAATTGAGCAGAAGAGAGTAGCTGTCTCACTGGTTATTGGGAAAGAAAGGAACAGATGAAGCGGATATTTCACTTTTTGGTCCAAGGTTATGGGTATAGAAGCGCATTCAACATGAAGATTGAAATTGCACGACTCGCAGCCATAGTATGACTGGAACAGAGAATAAACAGAATCATCATGTCCACAAGCAGCACAATAAAACTGTTCTCGGTTTGTGGCTTTAAAGGGCCGGAGAATAAGATTGTGGTCAGAGCCAGGATGAAAATCATGCTGAATTTCCCTTGGAAATTTACTACACACCTCATGAAGGTAATAATCACATTGTTTATTGCAGGCATAACCTCGACCAGAGATGACGATATTACAAAAGCTGCATTGGATCACTCTCTCCAAGGTGATATCGAAACAATGGATGACGATGGTTGAAATGATTCAAGGCACCCTCTTTATCTGAGGTATCAGCAAAAGCAGTTCGTAGTATCTAACTCATTCGCAGTGACTGCCCTTCTCTGCAGATATTGGGTTTAGTTCCAAAAATCTGCAGTGGTGTTTTTTGTATGAAATGAAAGATGCAAGGAAGAATTTGGTTGTTTTCTTCCCAGTAATATATTCACTGAGATTTATAAGCTGAGCATTTAGCTTAAAGTCTTAAAGTAGTGAAGATAAAATAATTCCATATAGTATACTTGTTGAGATAATTTAAGAACTTAGTACTTCTGAACCTAAACAAGTTTGTTGTTTACCTAACTTGTAAATTTTATATTCTCAACTACTAGTCCACTACCTCTCTTTTTTTATGACCACATTCATAACAACCAAAGCACCTGCTTTTTAAAAGATTTGAAAAAAATGTTCTTGAAAAAGCCATGCCCTTCTGGAAATTGAAATTTCTAAGTCCTTGAGAGATTTCTTTTGTTCATATTAGCTTTTCTCAACTTTTGATAGCGAGTCTTTTCCATATTAGATATTTCAACAAAAGATGAGTAAAACTAAGCCTAACTATAAAATAAGAAGGGCAACAGAGTTTTCATTCCAAGATAAGACAATACACAGCAGTAACATTACCAAAATCACACAATAGATAGACAAGCAAACCAGTTGGAAACAAAAAAAGGAAAAAGTAAGAAAACAAACACACATCAAGACATAACACACTGCAAAAAAACAAATTTATTCAGTCTTGTGGAGGAACTAATTTCAATTTGTTCAGTTATCCTCACTTCATTTAAACGTTGAAGTGATAACGTATCCATCTTTGCCTCATTGATGTTGGATTCTTTTGTGAGGGCACAACAAAGGTGCAAAGCTTCATCAAGTTCTAGATTATAGTACAACAGTGTAACATTCGGCAATATGAAATAATTGAAGAGGCTTAGAATTGGAAATTTTCATTTTTTTGAAAGAATTTAAAGTTTTGGAAATTTTGGCTAAGTATGGAAAAATGTGAAATTTTGGCCAACTTTGAACAGCCATAAATTATAGCTCAGGATGAGTTAGGCGGAATTCCAGTTATGGTTGCAAAGTTCGTGGAACGACCTTTCCAACGCCACCGAGTTTGCTCGATTCCGAGTTCGTATGAGGGAGTTATGACCTTTGAAAGTTGGGCAGTTGACAAGGAAATCCGTCCGGGAATCATTAAGGGCATTTTAGTCTTTTCCCTAGCCAATTCTTTTGAGCTCATATTGTTGTATTAGGATGATCTTTGGATCATTTTTGTCCCATTTTTGAAAGAGAAAGAGTTAGGGTTCTTGAGATTGAAGAAGAGAAGAAGGAGAAGAAGAAGAAGAGAAGAAAGAGGAGATTTGTCAAGACCATTGTGGATTTTCGTCGGGGGTGATCCCTATCAAGGTATGTGAGTTTTTCGTGTGGGTTGATCCTTCCCCTCACACACACCAAGTTTATTCTATGCTTTGAGAAAAGATTGGGAATTGTTGTTGAAGTGTCGAAGTTGTTAGTTGTTGTTAATATTGTTGTTGAGGTTGTTGAAGTTATTGTTCGTTGTGAGGCTTGATTGGGTTGTGCTTTAAGTTGAAACCTATTGTATGTTGAGGGGATTATGATTCTAAGAGCTATGACCCTTTAAAGGTTGATCCACCATCGATTTGCAGAAATTTCTGGGCTGTCGATCCCCATCTACGGGACTGATCTACGGACCGTAGATCGATCGACGGTCCGTACTGGTCAACCGTCAATCGGAACAGAAGTTGGTTGTTGGGGCATCGATCTACGGTCTGTGGCCTGACCTACGGACCGTAAGTCAGGACCGTAGGTCAACACTTAGTCTTTTTCTTAAGTGAATTCTGGGGAAAATCTCTGACGCAATCTACGGACCTGCAGTACGGACCGTAAGTCCATCTACGGTCCGTCGATGGAGTCCGTAAGTCCCATCTGTGTCACCAGAAATCTGAAGTCTCAGCCAAGTCTCCCCTCTTCTTTTCTCACTTTCTCTTGCATGTTCCAAAGTAATTCACCTATGTTTTATAGTTGTTTTCGACGTTCCAAAGTGCGTCTAAGCGTTCAAGAATCCTTCCATAACATGTGATCGAACACCTTGAATTCATAATTCCGATTCAAGGAAAGATAGTCCCAAGTCAAGTGAAGTTTCAAGTCGAGTAAGAGTCTTAGTTTCAAGCTAAGTCATGAGTTTAAAGTTGAGTTCTCTTTAAAAAAAAAAAAAAGGAGAAAGCTATTAGGGAACTAAGTATTCCCAAAGGAGGTTGTAAATGCTATTATATTTGAATAAGAAGGGAATCATGTTTTCTTTCCCCAAAGGAGCCTTTGGGCTAAAGTTTTGAGTAATTATCTCAATCAAAGAAAGAAGTTATTTTAAAAGCATGAGCCAAAGTATTTTTGGGAGTAGTATTGAGCACCGAATTGGGGACACGAGTTCATATTAACTCAACTCTCCATAAGAACCATGCGCCAACATGGGACTTGTCGTATCATTCTTTTTAGATGATCACGTAAAATTAGGCTAGTGGATCCACTAAGCAAAAGTAAGGTCCTATATCGATGGCAAGGTATAGGATGGTCCTTGGCAACGTGAGGTAAAACGTTGTATCATCACTAAGGCTCGTAGTGGTGGTTGTCGGTTAAAGAACCTCCCATAAAGTTGTATTATGTTTATAAAAGAAAAGTCGAGTTTGTTATCATTTTATCCTTAACGATCTAAGTTGTTTACATTCTTTTACAAGCTTTATATGTATGGCTTGTGTCTCATTGCTTTACTTTGAGTCCAGTTATTTATATGAGTTGTTCAGAGTCAAGGTAAGTGATCTCTTGTTCTCCTTTCAAGCTTAAGTTGGGGTTCAGCTTTTCCAGCTCACATATTCGTACATTCCATGTACTGATGCCAGTTGGCCTGCATCGTCTTATGATGCAGATACAGGTACCCCAGATCAGCATCCTGCACGTCGTTGATCCAGCCGAGCACTCCAGAGTTTGTGGTGAGCCTCCTTGCATTCCGGAGGACTCAATTATTTGGTGTACTTAGTTTTGTTCTATTAGGATGTTGCGGGGTCTGTCCCCACATCCATCTCAGGATATTAGAGGCTTCAATAGACAGTCAGTCAGTTAGTTTTGAGTCTCTCATCCATGTATGCGTATATATATATATATATATGTAAATATTCTATTATGAGACTCGAGTTGCCCTTTGGGCCATACTTTTGTTAGTTAAGTTGTTTATGTCTTTGCATGGCATTGAGTTATTCTGTTGAGTTAAGTTTCCGCTGAGTTAAGAAAGCCGGGCCAAGGGTTCGCCTGGGGCCAGCAATGGTCTCCAGGTGCCGGTCCCGCCCAGGGTGTAGGTTCCGGGCGTGACAAACAGTCCGCCTTTGGTCACCACTTTCTTGGAACAAATGTTGCCCTTGATCTCTGCATTCTCATGCTTAAAGGGGAATTCAAATAAGAGCTCATACAAGACATTGTTCACTAGAGTCAAGGTCTTGGGAGCTCCAGCACACTGGCGATTTATAAGAAATATAGTAGGCCCTGCTACGACCATTTGGGAATCTACCTTGGCAGCCCGGGCAATTGACATTCTCATTTTGATAATCCAAGTAGCAAGTTAACTTGAGAGGGTGTTGGGGATGAGACATATGTTGAATCGTGAATGGGACAGAGAAGCAAATCTTATCAATAAAGTAATTGCAATCACTGCAAAAGTACCCTATCGAGTTTTCAACGTTGCACACGTTGCATGCCAGGGGCTTGGCCGAGTTATATTCCCTGAGAGTATGGCGATGAGAGAAATGTGTAACGTCCCCACACGGTTGACCTGTAAGTATACTAGTAGGATGATTTGTTTACGCCAGAGTTTGCAGCTGGTTTTGAAGTTTACCCATAGAATGATTCTCCATTCGGTATTCTGATACAGCAGCACAATTGAAGTGACAGAGGTAATCATTCTCATGGTTGTACAATAGCCAGCACCCGGAAGTGGGAACAACTTTAGCACAAATTGAGCAAATGAGAGTAGCAGCCTCACAATTTATTTGGAAAAAAAGGAACAGATGAAGCGGATATTTCACATTACGAGATAATGCTATAGGTATTAAAGCACATTCAACATGAAGATTGAAATTGCACGACTCGCAGCCATAGTATGACCGGAACAGAGAATGAATAGAATCATCATCACCACACGCAGCGCAATGAAACTTCTCATTGTTGTTGGCCAACTGAAACGGCCTTAGATTAAGAGTGTGGTCAATGCCGGGATGAAAATCGTGGCGAATTTCTCTAGGGAAGTTACTACACACCTCATGAAGGTAATAACCACAATGCTTCTCACAAGCATAAGCCCAACCAGAGATACTGATATTGCAAAAGGTGCAATTGATTCCTTCACTCTCTCGAAGGTGCAATCGCAGCAATGGATGACGATGGCTGAAGTGATTTAAGACAACGTCAAGAGGAGGAGGACGATCAGATACATTAGCCAAAGAAGCTCGTAGTAACTGACTCATTCGCAACGACTGCCCTCCTCTACGGACATTGGGCTTAGTTTTTTTGTCAATGAAATCATTCATTTTCTGCTATTCTCGTAAAGTATCAATTTCAGTGCACATTGTTGTTAGAGACATAAGTACACAAATATATACTCACACACACTCCCTCTTTAATTTTGTTTTGGGAATATTAACAGTCCTGATCCATGAATTCTTGACAAGTTCTAATATCATATCACTCAATGCATTGAACCTTGTAATTATCAGGAATGTGCTTTGGTTTCTCCACTAACAAATCCCAATGATTTGCTTTGATTAATGTATGATAATTGTTTTAATTAACATTTATGTTTTCCAACTTTTGGTGTGCATAACTAACACCTAAACATGTATAGAGTCGAACAAATAGACATGTGTGTCTTACTTGGCAATTCACATCCTACGTGTATCATGCCACATATAACATGTATGTCTAATTGTTTAACTTTATTCAAGTTTCAATACCAACTTGTGTATACCCAAATTGGAGGGAATAGATGCAAGTCTAGACCAAGTTTTAAAAAAAACATATTTATGTATTATGACACTTTTCGTGACTAATCAAAGACTATAAGGGGTCATTTGGTTGGAAACAAGTTATCCTAGGATTAATTATCCTGAGATAACTTATCCCACCATGTATATGGGATAACTGATTGTTGGGTAACAAACCTATCCCACATCGGATGGAGAAGAAGAAATGTACCAATATATAAGTGCTCACCCAACTCCATTAGTATGAGGCCTTTTGGGATGTGCCCAAAAACAAATCCGTGAGGGCTTGACCCAAAGTGGACAATATCATACTAATCTCGAAACTATTTTTTTATTCCAAAACTATTTATTCTTATCCCTCATGCCAAACCAAGCGACCTTAATTATTGCTTATTAGTATGCGTCAGCCTTATGAGTATCAAATGACATAGATTATTAAATGCAATCAGTCCTGATATCACAACTATCAATATTTAGAACAAATCAATAATTTATGGATCATAACTGTTTAATCTTCTCAAGATAGAGTTGTATCTGTATATACACACATTTCATACCTCCTCGTTTTCACTATATTTAACCTCTCACACCTTTTTGCTGCAGCATCAGCACATCTGCCTTCCCTCAAATTATCCTAATATGCCTACACATCCATCTCAACATCCTCACTTTAAAACTCTGTCTCATACAACAAAGTCGGTCTAACCACCACTCTATAGAACTTATCTTTAAATTTAAATGGTACGTTTTTATCATACTAGACCCCGAAATGCAAGCCTCCATACATACTGATTTAACATTAACAAACATTTAACAAATTTTTTTGTGAGATCTCTCTAGTCTCTATATAATAATCAATGTGAAGAAAAAGAAGACATAATTAAAAGGAGATCATTAAGTTCTACTTTCATAATTTTATACTAGTAATTTCTTTTGTTTATCTATACATCTATCTATATAAACTAAAGGGTTAAGGAAAATATAAAAATAACAAAAAAAGGAGTAATTTTAGAGAAAATATATATATTAAGGACCTATAGAAATTATAATTAACATGGCTAGCTAGCTAGTTAAAAGTTTTAAGTTATTCCTGTCGAGGCCGCGCCACCCAAAGAGAGCTGAGAGCCCTAAGCCTATGAAAATATTCAGCAATTGCCAAAAAACACCTTGCAGCTTGACGGCTCGTCAAGATTTGATGAAGTCGATGAATTGTCTGATGTCTCAAATTATCAGCCTGTAATTGAAAATAGTCATTAACTCGTATTTTCAATAGATCGTTAAGTAAGAAGTAGTCAATTCATGTTAATTTGACTTTGGAGGGATTTTTATTATATTTATTTCATTAATGTTTTAAATCGCAATCAGTGTAAAAAAATATATACCAGGGTAGTTATTGACTTAATGTAAGATTTTTATTACAAATTTAGAATGTGAAAAGACAGCTACTATTAGCTGGTGGAATTATAGAATTTTGATATTATAGAACATGTACATATTATAACTACTTTATATTCATGAGCAAACTGCTAAATGACTTGAAAAGAGATACATGAGTCAGAATTTTTGTTTAGTAGGTTTTAAATATTAGATAATTTCAATTTTCAAGTGTTAATATATCTGAATTCTTAATTTGATGTGTAGATATTTAATGAATTTTTAACGTAACTACTATTTGTAAAAGTAATTAGGTTCGATCGAGCTCTTATCTATTGTGTTCTAAATCAATAGGCTTATGAATGTCACTTCATTCATACAAAATGTATAGGCCTAAAACTTAAACATTTTTTGGTCCCTACTCTATATATTTGGAAGTATTAGTTTTACAAATTTGTACTCTTGTGTTGTTTTGTACTGAATTCATGCAAAAATGACATTTTAATATACAAGACAAAGAAAACTTATCTTGTACCTAAACATACATGAAACCATATAATATAATCTTTATTACTTGAACCACAATATGTTATTGCTAAGTACTTCGATTAATAATTTCTAGAAAAGGATTATGTTGATTGAACACAAGAAGAAAGAAATGAAGTAAGAGGTGGAGGGCAGGGAAAAGAATAAAAGAGTTTGAGCATTCCGCCTTTTGAAAAGTCAGTAGACGTGGAGGACGACTGGGCCAGACCGAGTTAGAAAAGCTTAAATTTTAGATAAATTTTGTACACAAATGATATATTTGCAAACAAGAAGAGTTCAAGGTCATTTCTTGTAAGGTAAATATTGGTCACACTGATTAAATGAAGTCTATATATGGAAAAATAAGCTGGTGAGAATAGGTCATACATGATGGAGTAGGTTTTCCAACTAAACTAAGAGTAGATATAGTACTTCTATCTTGGCCCTACCAATCTATCAAAATCACTTAATTTTGACTCTATCTCAACTGCTAATGTGAAGAGATTTATTTTAGCATTAAAAAAATAATAGTAATAGTTTTACTTTTATGTATTTTTACGGTATTAACTCACTTAAAAAATAACTACAACATGTAACCATTCATTTGAAATATAGAGATAAGATTGTAACCTGAAATAAGGCAGGTTACTCATTACAACATGTTAAAGTGTAAACACTAGTAGTGTGAAAATATTTTTTATACTTTAGGGTATAAGTTATAATCCAATAAATAAATATCTTTTCATTTTTAGATTTTGTACCGATTTCATATGTTTTACTTCAGTTGAGGGTCTATCGGAAACAACCTCTCTATCTTCAAGTTAGGATAAGATCTACGTAAAACATCATTCTTTCTGTTTTTCACTTATAGGATATTACATTGGGCATGTTATTGTTGCCGTCACATAAATTGGATTGAAGGGAGTATATAATTACTATATGAGTTTATAAATAGTTATGTATATATATATGAGGGACTATATATGTGTGTACCTGTCTAACAAAGCCTTCAATAGTGGAGAGTTTGTTGATGGCAAGAGCCATTTGTCCCATATAATTTGCCATGTTTTGAGGGCAGTTAGCCAATAATGCATCAGAGACAATTGTGTCTGAAACTGATTGATTCAGATTTTCCAGCCCTTGTGAGAGAGCTTCCTCAGCTTCTTGTGTTGATTGTTGTAATCCACATATTCCCACAAATTGTTGTTCTGTTAATGGCTCTATCTGACTCAGGATTATCTATTAATCATGCATCATTAACAAAAATTAGCTCATCTCAATATACATAAAAACTCCCAAATGTACACCTAATAATACTATTCACCCATAATATAAGGATATGACACAAAAAGTGAAGAAATTAGAATCAATTTATGTGACGATGTTTGAGTATTTGCACGAAGTTTATGAAAGAAAAAAAATGTTTGAAATTTGTGACCTAAAATAAATCATCTCATTAAAGGTAAAATAGTACTCCCTCCGTCCTATATTAGTTGTCGTGTTTCGCATTTCGAGAGTCATGAACTTTGACTAACATTTTAAAAAATATATTTTTCATCAAGTTATTATAAGAAAGCCTGCAATTTGTAGGTAATTTTTAATAACAAAATTTTAAATATAAGTATTGAGTTGATTATCTTATCTAATTTAGCTTCGAAAATGAGTTAATTGAACTTTCAAAAAGATAAACATGACAACTGATTTGGGACGAGGAATAAGTATTTTAAAGTTAAAATTAAGAAGACATCATTCTTTTTAGAACAAATAATTTTAAAAAAAAAACATAAATCTATCGTGAGTACTATTTATATCTTAAGCAAATTAGGGTTTTGTATTAGGATTTTAAGCAACGTAAATGCATTATGTCAATTTTTTAATGTTACCGGTGCATATTTTATAGTATGTTGTAACAAGCAATTGGCTTTATTTTCCAAGTTACCAATTTCACATATGAAGAATATATACTTAACTGTAATTATCTTTTAGGCGATCTGATAGTACATACACACGTACCTTGATGAGTTCGGATGGGCGGAAATCTCCCATCCAAATGAAACAACGCTCCGCCGGAGTTTTCCACATGCCGGAAATAAGATGAAATACATCGGATTTTACAAGCATGCTCTTGAGATTCATCATTTCATCGTAATGTGTGACACAATTTTCGACGTAAATTCGAAGATCGTTCTCCGGAAAATGTTCGGTCACTGCATTTCGAAGCTCACACATGAGACGATGATGTTCCTCCAGCCACCTTGAGTACTCCATATCAAACACTGCAGCATCTACAAATATTCATACAAAAATGAAACCGTGAAAATTCACTCTATCTGTTTGGATATCATTTTGAAATGTGCGATCATTTAAATTAAAAATTTTAAATGTTAGTTGTAGAGAGAGCACATTTTTACTTAATTATGCTCGCAACATAAAGTAACAAATATGAGCAATAAATTAATTGAGAGTGTGTTTTGTAAGACGTGGAAAGAATATATTTGGTCTGTGAGTAAAAAATATATTTTGAAAAAAAAAATCAGTACTATTAAAGATTAATAATAATAGGGAAATATGATCGAGAAGATTAGGGTGTCCTTGATGATTTTTTTTGAATAATAAAGATCAATAAGGATGTCTAATTAAGTTTTAGT